ACATGATCATATAAACACTGCTATTTATAATAATATAAAGACTGGTAGGAGGTAATAAATTTGGGGCGAAAGTATTCAATAATCAGTTTTTGGCTGTTTCTATGGCAGCGGTGAGCGAGAATTTTTTTTTTCAATTAGTGACAGTATGACCTGCCTGTCAAATATGAACAAAATCAGCCAAACCAAAAAACCCACAGAGCAGTTAAAAGCCGCTGGTGAAAAGTTACCCCAACTTTGAGGTCAAGTTTCTCGGTAATGAAAATAGAGTAAAACAACCATTAAATTTATGCCCACACTCAGACTGAGTAGAATAAGCTACTGAATCGTAGAAATGTAGGGCGAGACACATTTGGCGCGAAGGTATTAAAACAAATCAGTTTTTTGGCTGTTGCCATAGAAACTGTGGGCCAGAATTTGTTTTCAGATTTTACGACCTAACTAGAGTGAAGGTGTGACTTGTCCGCCAAGTTTCTACCAAACGGCCCAGCCAAAAAATCACAGAAGAGTCAAATTTGTCGGTAATGAAAACAGATATCAAAAATTCAAATAGTAACTTAGTGCCCACACTCAAGCTGAGTTGAACGAGCTATGTCTGAGGAGTTTTATCCTAAATCTGTAGGTGGAGATTGATTTGGCAGGAAGCTATCCAGTTTTTTGGGCTGTTACTATGGCAACGATAGGCCAATTTTTTTATCTTCAGATTTTACCTAATAACTAGGGTGATGGTGTAACCTGCCTGCCAAGTTTGAGGGAAATAGGCCAAGCCAAAACAATCACAGAAGAATTAATACGTGAATCCCCGGAAACCACACACACAGAAACACAAAATTGATTTTAAGGGCAATCCTAGCAGAACGGATCGCCAATAGTGAACAAAATGGGGGACGGTCGATTCGTCCCAAATCACATTCGTCCCAAATCACATTCGTCCCACAAGTTAATTCGTCCCAAGTCGATTCGTCCCACGCACTGTTTTTGCCGACGTTATATACAAATACACCTTATATGCAACGTAGAGTTATTAGTTAATAAAAACAAATACACCTTACACGCAACGTACAAGTTATT